TCAACCTCAGGACTCCACCACGGGTTGAGAGGCCTCATCTCTATAGCCCCACTTCTCACCGTGTCTGTGGGAACCCCGGGGGCTGTCCCTCACTCCTCAGCACCTGGTCATTGTGTTTGAGTTTTACAGAGATGGAATGGGGGAGCAGTAGGTTACTTAAGGACAAAGAAAAATAAAAGCTAACCTAGTAGCAGGATGGTAGCAAGTGATGCTTTGTGTATTTTTGTGAGGAAACAAAATGAAAAAAGACTTTTTTAGAAAGCAGACCCAAAGGAATCATAGCTATTGAGCGGTGAGAGTAGAGAAAAAGGCATCTGCAGTCCTTTGCTTTGTTTTTGTAGAGCTGGGAATAGCACAACCCCAGGTCTTCCACTGCCCTAATGCTAGGCAGGCGCTCTAACATTCGCTACACTCTTACACCAGCTGGTGTTTAGTTGCTGTCTGACCCTTTAGACTGGTAGTGTGCTCCTTTCTCTCTTTGTTGCTTTCATTTCTTTCCTTCTTTCTTCCTGCCTCCCTTCCTTTCCTTCCTTCTTTCTTTCTCTTTATCATCCTGCTTCCTCCCAAAGAGAAGGAAATGGACAGAACGACATCTTACTTGTCCGAACCTTATGAGTGTGTCACGGTATCTTCACTCATTCATTCATTCAAAACTCTTTGGAAAAAAATCTTTCATAGCAGTAATAGTGCTAATCATGAGAAATACAATAGTGAGGAAAAGTCAACACTGCCATATTGACATTCTGGAGTGGAAATGGCTTGGCTAAGGTGGGTACCAAAGGAAGGCTAGGATGGTTATAGGGGGAAAAAGAGGAAGGATGGAGAGAGAAATGGAGAGAAAGGGGTTAGGTCAGATTTTTCAGGACTTGCTGATGGCTCTGGTATTACTAGAACCAAACCCTCAGAGGTTAGAAACACTGCCTGCTCTTCCAAAGGTTCTGAGTTCACCAGCAACCACATGGTGGCTCACAACCATCTTGAATGAGATCTCGTCCCCTCTTGAGGAAGACACCTGGTCAGTTGTCCTCAGCAACTTAGACCATGAAACCCCATATGGACAATGCGTTCAACAGAATAGCCATATCCAGGCTGCCCATGCGTGCTTCAGCATTGCCGGGGCATAAGTTTCATTTTATTCGTTCTGATATTACTAGAAGCCGCAGGTTTCAGCAGAAGAGGCGTGAGCTCAGATTGCATTTTCACACCCTGTTTTGACTTTTTATTCACTTTATCCATTTCTTTTAAAGCTTAAGGAAGAATTTGTCAAGGATATGAGAGGATGGCTCCCAGTTGCCCAGGCCAGTGATGCTGATCTAATGTAGGATTGGAGATAGCAGACTCAGTGTGGTAGTGGATGGAGGGAAGAGGACAGACTCAGGAGAGAACCAGAGACAAGGTGATTAGATTTGATCAAGGACTGACTGTAAGCAGAAAGGAGGAAGCAAGGATGAATGTTTAATTTGTAGTTTAAATAATATTAAGAGAAATCACTATTGCACTGATAGTTATTTAATCTTACTTTAATCTGTTATTTAATCTTAATGTTATCTACATAAGGACTATTATTATTCAAATGGAGAAATAGCCATAGATATATGTACTCATAAGCATACTGTGAGCAAGAAAGTTAACATTGAAGCCAGGTAGCTTCCTTCCAGATTCTCTGTGATGGTCGTTTAGACACTGACCCATTTCTTGGAAAGGATGGATGATATTCGAAATAGCCTAGGTTCCACCCAGTCTCTTCCCTATAGTGGGAGCATCAGGGCCACCTGCCTGGTGAGCTGGACTCAGACGATGGGACAGGAGAAAGAAACAGTTAAGCCAGTTGTGATGTCAGAGGGCAAGCCAGGACTCAGTAGAAAGCCCTAGTTGAGGACAGGACCTCTAGAGGACAAATGGCCATTCCAGCTTGACAAGGGAACAGTCTCCTGCAATGCCAGGTAATGAACATGGAAGGAGCAAGCTCAGCCACTGATCCTTAGCGGGTTATCAGGAAACACACAATACATTCAATTTGGCTCTGTAGAGGATAGTGCTTCACTGCCCATCGGTCACAAACATAGCTAGTCGAGAACAGGCCTGGAAAGTGGCGGCAAGGACTTCAGTTCATTGAGGGAAAAGACACAAAAGGACAGCTCAGTGGTGGACTGGACTGCTTGTGGCTGATCCACTGCAGAGGTCCACAAGAGCATGTTTGGAGTCAGGGTGTTCCGCCTCAAAGCATCAGTTAACAAACGGCCAGTGAACGCTCCACCATGCATCCGGGCGGAGGTTTGGAGGCTGTAGACCTCAAGGGCAGGGCACCTTCCAGCCACACACCTAGGATGGTGAGGTCCAGAGGCTGTAGAGTGCTGAAGTGATTCACCATAAATCATCCATTTGACCTGAAGAGCCACTAGCTTGCTTTAGCTCTGCTGGGCAATGACCAGTACACAGTTGCCTGGTTCGTCGGTGGCCATCCTTAAAAAACTTGATGATTAAAGCAGATGCAGTGTAGCATGGCTATAATGCCAGGGCTTGAGAGGTGGGGGCAAGGGGACAAGGAATTAGCTGCATAATGAGTTTTGAGGCCTGCTGGAACTATACGAGAGCCTATCTCGAAATAAAATAGTGATGGCTCAGCTGTTAAGGGAGTTTGCTGCCCTTGTGGAGGATCCAAGTTCAGTTCCTAGCACCCACAAAATAGCCTGTTTGTATCTAAGGGATGCAAAGTCCTCTTCTGACCTTTGCCAGTACTGCACACATGGCACAGAGTCACAGCCATCACTCCCCACCCCAAATAAAAATAAACCTCACATGTATACATAAAAATACAATAAAATTGAATAGAAAGCAAGAGCTGTCATGTCTGCCATTTTTGCTTTACATATCTCAGAAATGACCTGCCACTTTGGTGGTTCATCTCCATCTGTGATGTCATAGACCATCTTCTGATAAAGTTGGTCTGGGATAATTATGTTAGTTTTCTACTTCAGAATAAATGTAGTGGTTTCAAAAGCACCCAGTTGTCTTGTGTTCTGTAGGCAGTGTGGCCTAGTTGATTCTCTCTTCTGGGGTTTGCAAGGTTGATGTCAAGGCTCTGGCAGCTTGCATTCTTTGTAGAGGCTGTGGCCATGACCTAGAGCCAGGTTTCTTCAGGTTCGGGGCAGAGCTCTGACGGGACCCTTTTCCTGGATGACTGTTGGTGGCAGGTTGTTTTCTGCTTCTAGAGCTAGCTGCATTTCTTGGCTTGTGTCTCCTCTTCTGTCATCTTTCGGCCAGCAGCTGTGGGCCATAGTCTTCTCGCTCCTCAGGATTCTCCTCCCCTTTTTTCTTCCCCGTGTCTCTCATGTCTAATTCTTTCACTAGATGTTTGTGATACTCTCAATGTTGGGTCCAGCTAGAAAGTTCAGGCCATCTCCCTAGCTCAAGGTCAGTTGCTACCAATCACCTCACCTCACTTCACTTCCTATTACCGTCTCATCTCTTCCTTTCCTTCACAGAAATCAGAGCATAAATTTCTTCTGTATGGTCTCTCTACAGCTGTGAATACAGCAAGCATCTGGCGGGGGAGGGGGTGCATGTTTAGGATACAGCTGTTTACTCCTGATGGCTAAGCTTCACTGTCGACTTGATGTGGAGTCACTGTGGAAATATACCTGTGGGTGCATCTCTGGGAGTGTTTCCAGAAAGGATTCACTAGGGAGGGAAGACCCATACTGAATGTCAGGGGCACCATTTCCTCAGCTATATTACCTGACTGCATAAAAAGCAGAAAGCAAGCTAATATGTGTATTCATCTCAACTCCTGAATGGAGCCCTAGTGTGAGATGATACCTCATCTTCCTGGTGCCATGGTAACCACGCCTCCTTGAGAGATAAAATAAACCCTTCCTTGGTTAAGTAGCTTTCCCAGCAACAAGAAAAGGAACTAACACACTAAACAGTCCCCACTCCTTTGCTGTGATGGTTCCCACCGTAGTAAGGTTTATTCTCAAGCCTTAGTTTCTTCTTTGTGCTGATAGTGTTAGATGCCATTTCTGGAAAGTGACGGAAACTCCATGAAGTATCTTTCCTCCTTTATAATGTCAAGGAGCTAGAGTCGGCAGAGATGGCAAGAAAGGAGAGGAAACTGAAGATGTGAGGGAAGTAAGGGAATCTTGAAGCCACACACAATCAGGATTTAATTAACCCAGTATCTGGGTCATGGTTACTCATTTATTGTCATTTGTTCAATTATTCACTTAACCCTTCATAGAATTTTTTTGTTTACCTATTGAGGGAGAGCTATCAAGCCTCTAGCTCATGAGACTGCGTTGTCCTTTGTGTACCAAGTTTTCACCCACAGAAGATTCTTTGTAGAGAGAATCGCTCTATCTACTGTAGAGAACAGGAGACCTCAACTATAATTGACGTGAAGGAGGGACTTTCTTGACAGCTCATACGGGAGCAGAGGACAATTAGGAAAGATGTAGGAGACCAGAGTTGGAGAGCATAATAGGAGAAAGGGAGTGGGGATCTGATGGAGGAACATTATACACACATGAAAATGTCCCAGTGAAACGCAAGAATGGAAAAATAAGATACATAAGGAGACCTAACCTTGCCTGTAAGGGTGAGGAAATGAAGAAAAGACTGAGGCCCAGATAACAGGTGTCAGTTAGCATGGCTGAGCAACTGGGGTTTAGTTAAGCAGGAGAGATACATGGTGGGCAAGGTCTCAGGTTCAGGGCAGAATAGAAGGATCCAGGGGAAGGAGAGTATAGTGATAGATGAGGTTGGTGAAGCGGAGCAGGGCAGACCGAGCAAGTTCTTCAAGATACAGAAAAGACTCTTGACTGTCTTCTAAGGAAGTGGGGGTCCCCAGAGGGTGGGGCCCCTTGTTCAGTGTTGAGTTCCTGAAAGTCTGTGGGGACGAGTATGGAGCTTGAAAACAGGCAAGGTGACACACAGGTTTCCCAACAGCCCATTGTGACATCATTTGATGTCAATGGAGCATCAATGATGTCAATGGTGGAGCAGGACTGGAGGAGTCAGAGTTGGGAGGCAGAAATGTCTTCCTAAGGCTCCGAGGTGGGCTGGAGACAGGAGATGGTCAAGGTCATTTTGTTGACTCTCATGATGTTAAGTCAATTGTAAATACATTTCCATATGTACATAGGCCTTACCCTTTCTTTGCAAGTTAAGCTTTTATTGTTTTGTAACCGCTATGATTTAGAAGGCAACAAACGCCTGTTTGATAACACCTAGAATTTATCACCCTAGATTTGTCAGCCAGGCTCGCAGGATTTCCGTCATGCTCCCTGCAGCCTGTGATACAGTGCCACCCAGGAGCTGCAGGCCACCCCTCTAATGTGAGCTCATCTGGCTGTTGAATTCTGCTGAGTCCCCTCGCCCTTCATTTGCTGGCTCAAGGCAACCATTAGCCTTCTGAGGACTGGAGCAGGTATGCCCTCTTCAGCACTCTCTCTGAATGATTGCTTCCCAAATACATTGGCGAGAAGCCAAGAGGTGACTTGATGGGGTCCTTGGGCAAGTCAATTAGCCTCTCTCAGGAGGGCTGATGGCTCTGGAGAAGGGGAGATGGTGAAGATGAATCCCCACTCCAGCTGCCTGCTTACTATCCCTACTCCTTACCCTGCATGCTGTCTGTCACGCCCTGCACAGCCCTTCCAGTGTTCCTGTAGCTTTGCATAGACTCTCGTGAGTAGCCTTCTAAGTGACTGACTTCCCAAAACCTTGCTTTCCTTTGAAACTCAAATCAAATGCTACTCTGCTCTGATGTCTTCTTATTCAGTTATTCCACAAATTGTTATTAAACAAAGTATGCTAGGCAGATAGAATACAATTGTGGGCAAGATGGACATAGTGGTACCAGTTCTCATGGAATGGACTGACAGCGAGCAGGAAAATGAATCAAGACTGTCGTGTGAGTGTAACTGTGGGAAGAGAAAAGTAGGTATGGAAGGAGCTGCTTTCTGATATATATATATATGAATGATCTGGCATCTTGAGGCATAAACACACGGTTTTGTCTGAAGGACACAAAGAAAGTTGGTGTGGCCAGAATATGACGCCAAAGGAGAGGGCATCGTGAGGCGAGGGCATGAAGATCTCAGCAAAGTTAAGGTTTTATTCTGATTAGTGAGACAAAACCTGGCAGACTGGTATGTGGATGGGCAGGGACAAAAGAGAAGACAGAGGTACAGAAGGAAGGCAGAGAAGCCACTCAGAGGCTCATGGAGTGGGCAGAAGTGGGCCATCAAGAGAGAGATTTTGGAAGCACAGTCAGTGACTTTGCTGTTCAGTTGGATTTGGAGTAGAAAAGAGAAGTCCAGAGCAACTGAGTGGGTTTATAATGGCCCTTTACTAAGAAAGGAGAGCTGGAGAGGTGGCAGTGATGACGTGAGGTTGAGGTGTCTAAAGTCGGCTTTGGATGTGTTAGTTGAGCTGTCTGCCAGATATCTGAAGGGAAATGTTCGAAAGTTAACTGAATCTGTGAAATTTGGTGCAATTAGGAAAAAAGGACGTTAGAGGAAGGTTCCTCATGCGTGGCACTGAATGGTGGGAGATATTTAAGGGTGGAACTTATAGGAAAGCCACTGAGACATGGTCCTTGTCATAAATTAAGATAGTTGTCATTTATTCTAGCTAGTTCTCATGACTGCACTGTTGGAGAAAATGCAAGCCTTTCCCGTCCCTACTTCTCAGTGACTTCCTGTCTCCCCATGCAATGCTTTCTATCCTTCAGCAACTCGAGCCATGGCTTCCACCATGTTGCATTGCAGAACAGCAGCAGAGATGGGTGTGCTTATGTGTGACTCATAGACCAATGTCATGTTGGGTGAACTCACGAGTTCCCCACATTGTGCTAACTGAACCTGATGCTTTTGTAAAGTGTGCAGCCTCGGGTGTTTTGCTATTGAAACAGAGAGCAGATCAGTAGAGATGGTATTTAAAGCAATGAGACTAAATGCTCCTTGGAGGGAGTGTGGAAAGCAAAAAGAATTTACATGCTGTTTTCCCTGGGCAGCGCCTCCTCAGCTCTCACCCCAGTGTCCTCCCTGAGCCATGGCCTTGAGAGTAAAGGGTGAATTTCTCCCTCCTCTTCAAGGCAATATATAAGATCCCTGTGGAGCCTACCGGCTCCAACCTCTGGGGGTTCCACACTGTACCAGTCCTTAAGATCCACCTTCATCCTACATTAAACTTAATTTGACGTGGTTCTTTAAGAGTGGGGTTGCAATTGACTATTTTGACACGTTGCAATTCACAGACATTTAATTACGATATCATTTGATTTTGACCTTTGCAGCTTTATTTGTGCGTAGTAGAGCCAAGTCTATCTGTAATGCTTCACACTATTTTGGGAAGCCCTTGGCAAGCGTGCCCAAGGACAAAGGACACCAAAACTTCATTGGTAATGCGAGCTTGTGCCTCTGGACTCTCAGCGTGCTTCATACCACTTTAAATAGTGTTGCATTACAGCTGAGTGTTTCGTACGTATTGCTCAGTTAGAAGGTCAGTCTGGAGAAGGTAAGGACCTCAGAGCCTGGTATGTCAGAGACTCTATCTACAGTTTGGATTTATTTGGGTTTATAAGAAAAAAAAACAAAAACCAAAACAACAACAACAAACCAAAGTTCAATGGGTCAGTGTCCTTTCTGTTCTTTCTTGGGAAAAGGCTCCTGCTTTCCTTGCAACGCATGTAATATGAGCTGAATGTGCTCTGGCACTCTTAAGAAAGGAAGCCATGCGGTCGCTTGAGTCTGGGCTACACCTTTTATTAGCGATCATTCTCATGTCAGAAAGTTTATCTCTGTGCGGACTTTTCTGTGAGCCCAATTAAATAAGACCATGGTGGTCTTAAAACATTACACTCTTAAAGAATATAAAAATATTGACAAGAGTTCAAGATCTTACAATATGAACCTCAGAAAGTTTATCTGGAATTTTCTAGAAATACCTTTTTTTTTTTTAAATCAAAACAACAGTTGTATCTAAACAATGGCCAACTGGAAGAGATTTTGTTAAGTAAATTCCTCACTAATAATCTACCAAGACCAGACATGGAGGTTTATGCCTACTTACCCAGCACATGGGAAGCTAAGGAATGCTGAGTTTTAGGCCAGCTTAAACTATGGTGTGAAAGTCTGTCTCAGAGTTGCGCTCACTGAGCAAAGGGGGAAAACAGCCAAGTGATTGTCTGCAGTCTCCTGGACAAAGAGGACAGGAACCCGTGCCACCACTCCTGCTCTGGGACTGCTACATAACTGCCTCTTTCTTGCCAAAGAGCTGAATCCGGCTGGATCGTCACCTCTAGTGATGACGAGACGACATGGCTATGTGGATTAGAGTCTCCTGCTAGGTGCCAAGGAGCTCCAACAAGCCACAGTGAAATTCAGTTCATTTTGGCTATGCCCAGCGGAATATGTCAAAGGCTCTGAAGTGCTCGGCGGAGAACTTTGGATTTTATGGGCTGGCACCGAAAGCATCTGGAAATGGATGTTAACCAGAGAAGAAAGCAGTCTTATATTTTCTGTGTCATGGACATATTCTGCATTTGGAGCCTGGAGCCCAGAGCCCAGCCTAGGGTACCTGAGGTCAAGCTGTGGCTGGTCTTTGTTTCCACCTGCCATTTTGTATTAAAGAACGGAAGGACATAGCATCCAACCAGAGCAGTTTAAGGTTGACTCCAATCTTTGTTGTCACCCTGCCATCTGCTGGTATCCTAGGTGAGGCTGGGTGATGACTCAGATGCTGTGAAGAATGTACCGATCTGTGTCAGCATCATGGGAGTCTTTCTATTGGGGATGGCGCAGTGAGTAGGGTCTCTCGATTTCCATACTCAAATGTGCCTTCAGTGTTGATCACTCAAGAGAGAAACTTCAATATAGTAGTCTGAAAGCCAATGGACTCCCTTCGCTACCAAGCTCATGTCTTGCAACTTCCCAATAAGCTTGGGAGCGGCACTTGGAGCAAGGGCTTCCACAGTGGGACTTGAGAACTTTGCAGCTGTAGTTGGGGTGGGATTGGGCAGAGATGCAGTGCCGGCAACAAAGGGAAAGGCATAGCCATTTCTTGACTCAGCTATTGTAAGTTGAACTACCGCCCTTTGTAGCAATGAACCAGTTAGATTGAAACACATCTTAAACGATTTAGATAAACACATCTTCCTGACCTGAACGTCCTATGTGTGGCAAATTTACTTGTAAAGAGGGCCTAGGAGTTAGACAGACTTCCTGATAGGCAGATAGGGAGAGGGACCATGCCTAGGTAATAAGGGTAGTGAACTTCCAAGATGGCTAACTTTTTCCATTATCCTCTGGACCTGATACAAAAGTCTGGCAGTTTAAACAAAGGCCTTGTGGGCTGTTTCTTCTTTCTTTTTCTCCTGCAGGTAAGGCCTCTGCTGATGGACTCACTCAACAAGTTCAAGGCTGGATCAAAACACATTTACACAACAGTTGTTGGTCAATCAGCCATGCCACATTTCTTCAACCTGGCCAAGCTAAATTAGGGAAGACCCTTCAAGGACTTTATTAACTCCAGCCCTCAAGGAGAAGCTCCAAGGGTTCTGGCTTCTCAGATTTGCCCTCTGTTTTGTATATGGTCTTTTTCTTTGTGCCTGCTACATGCGTGTTTCTTCGCCCCTAATAAAAGCCTTCTTCAGATTGCTGATTCTCTCTACTTCTGTTTGCTATGCTTGAGGTTACTCAAGTTGCTATCCATCCTGCCTGACATTTCTCCTGCCTTTTAATTCTTTAACTGGCAGAGAAAAACAAACTTGGTCAAGACCTCTGAACCTGACCAAGACCTTTAGACAATAATAGTAAAAGCCTAATTCTACTCCTATCTGCTCTACTGATACGACCTTGGCCAGTTCAGCATAAACTTAACTAAGTGACCTACCCACAGGGTTTAGAACTCATTGCATTCTGTGGTTGTTAAACTTTATTGGTATGATTATTCATTTGCCATATCAATTTAGGGTCCATCTATATGTTTTGGTTTCCTTTTGAGTAAACAGGGTAATATATGTACTTCTGCTCTGTTTTTCTCAGATGCAGGAGATATGTATTATATTCTCATGTTGTGTACTGCATGTTAGGTGGTCACTAAAATTCATTCCCTTTGTCTTCGTGTCGGAACTTTGTGATTGTAGAAGTTCTTTCTTCTACCCATATGTATTCTCTAAATCTTACATCTGGTTGGAACTCATTTTGCTTTTTTTTTTTTTTGCTAATTTCTCTGCTCAAATGGCAAGTAATGAATCACAAGGGTAGTGATTGTATCTCAAACAGGTCCCACAATAATATATATCCACTGATCATTTTAGCTCATTTTTTTATCCCCACCGAGTGCTATGTCTCAGAGAGTTCTGTTGGACAAACTCATCCCTTAGGTGTTCTGGGCTATCCACTGCCAAATTTACACAAAATGCCAGCAAACTGAACCTTTCTTTTCCACAGTCTTTATACTTGCTACATCTTTGCTCCCACCCCTACATGCCACACACACACACATACACACACTGCAGAATTGACTCAGCTACCTTCCATATTGGGGACTTGGTAGCTACAACTGGTCAGAAACTATGTCAAGTTTAATAGGTATTATTAGTTATTTTCTTCCTGAAAATGAGATTTAACATGCATTGCTGTCCAAATGTCACCTGCTCTGTGTGTCCTTTCCTCCTCCCTTTTGTTCATGTCTACCTCTCTTCTCTTGTTTTTCTATGTGTACTGAGACACTTCATTCACACCCACTGCTCCTCCACACTCTACTTCAATATGGAAGCAGAGACCTTTCTCATCAACTAAACTTTTCAGAGATGTTTACATATGGGTCTGAAGAGAGCAAATAAACAGGAACTTAGGTTAATTTAATAGAAAAAATAAAATATGGAATAACATTGATTTTGGTCAGTATCAATTACAACTGTTCTATATTTTACAAAAAAACAACTGAACATTTTACACATGTACAGTATTTTTCAGTAAAGTGGATTTGGATTTAACAACAGGTCACTATTAATTAGTGAATTAAAGATCAAAAGACAAAAGAAAACAGGAACTAGGACTTTTGTCTCCAGAGGGTAAGAGCATTTGTCACGTCTCCATACTTTGTGCTATCCAATACATATACTCATGAATATATATTTATACATAATATATAACATTACCGTAAACTTTGAAAGCATTATGTTCTAGTTGATAATGTCATGTAGATAAATGAGGCAGTAACAAACTAGTAGCTAAACCGGTGTTTCCGTGATGTGCCCCCTGCACGGTCAGTGGGATGGAACGCACGGAGATGGGCCCCAGGGAATTTGTTGTCATATCAGTTGCTAAAGTATCTAAGGACAAAGACTCCAGTTTGATTTCTTGTATCATCGGGACCTTGTGCCTTTAACAGTACAGACCTGCCTAATCAACTGGATTCCTTCGCAGGCAAATTTAGTTTCTGCCTCTGCCTGGCTTGTGTTTACATCTGTTCATTTAAAGAATGCGCATTCACATGTGAAAAGAATCATACACCGTGACCAGGATTCCCTTTGCTCTTCGAGTCAGAAGAGCCTACAGTGTTCTAAAGAAGAAAAGTTGCCCAGCCTAGCCTGACAGTTCCTTAGTTACCAATGAATCATGTGACTCAGTAGCATTAACAATGCTATTGAAGGGTTCAACAGGCTGATCATTCCTTATCTATCTGCAGCTAGAAGTGAACTCCGCTGTCTAGGGAGATTTTCAGGGTATGTGGTTTACTACCTGTCTGTGTGAGCACGGACTTTAGCATCTACATCCCAGCTCCTTCCCCAGATCACCTCTCTCCTCTCAGCACTGAAGTTCCGGCATCTCAGAAGTATAGCTTTCCAGAACTTAGAGCCTGAAGGTGCCTGGTCAGGCTACAGGTAAATGAGGTCACCATGGAGATTTGGTAGGAGAAAGAAAGGAGCTTGAAATCAATTACTCTCGGAGGAAGTGTAAAAAGGTATGTTAGATTTCATCATTTTCAGCCGTAGATTCAAGCCGTTTCTCTGCAGTTCAGTATTCTCGATGCTCCGAAATGTTTGAGTCACAGAAAAGCAGTGAATGCATTGTGAGTCAGACAAACAAACAGAGCAATCCCAGCCCAGCGACATTCAGCGGACAGGTGCAGAAGAACATGGCCTTAGTTACAGGAGGACAGGGGAGGGAGAAGAAACAGAACCAAGAGGGTACAACGTGCCACCCACATTCAATCTCCAGTTTTGTTCTCTGACACCAACAGGATGAGACACCTCGGAAATGAGCACCATTGAAAGACACGGCTCCACCAGTGTATGCATGAGCATAAATAGTATTTAAATAAACTCCATTTCTTAAAATGTACAGGACCTCTGAGAAGCTTTTGACCACAGGAAGAAATCTCCTGCATGCTGTCTCAAATGCTTCCCACTGTGACAGATGGAATTTCTGACGACAGTTAAAAACATGCTACGGGGGCAAAGACGAGATAGCACCAAGAGGTTATACAGGGCTTGCGGAATGACACTCTGGGCTCCAGGGGACCTGGGTCGGCCTCATCCCTTCTGGGCATCACGTGCTTCTACCATCCATTCGACTCTACAGAACAATCCATTTTACCAGCTGTGTGAAAAATAACCCGACACACAGTGTTTGGAAAGCCGGTGGCAGAAAGTCTACCAGACGAAGCCAATGGAACAGACTTATCAGGAGGGAAAAGTGCAGAAAACTGGCACACAACATACAAAGCCAGTCATGTGTGGGAAGGATCACAGTGGAACCGTGGAACGCAAAGACGAGGACACTGGACACACTCGGTGAGATCTTATCAGTACCCTACGGGACAGTTTCCTGTCATTTTCCCCAAGCCACACGCTCAGGACAGAAAAGTGACCCATGCAGAAGCTTTCTGTTCGTTCTGATCTATGTGTGTGCTTGTGATATTTTTGGGAAAAACATTTTCAGTCATTTGAGAGGAGAAACAAGAGAGTGAATGAAAAGGAATAAAATGGACCTTCAAACCAGGGCAGGAAATCAAATCATTCCTTTAACTTCAAATTTTGGCATCAGATACTTTGGTTATACAATACTGTCTCTGTGATTCTGGCTGTTTAACACTAAACATCCAGTTTTAAAAGGTAGGTTTGTTGTAGGTTTATTTATTTATTTTTTTTCTATTTAAGTTTTGACAAAACAGTTCACCATCTCCCTGCACAAACTTAAGAGAGAGAGAGAGGGGAAAAAAAAAGATAGCAAGAAAGAGAGAGGTGCTTTGCATTTTTTGGCTTTTTTTCTCTTTAATAATATGGAATAATCTCTAGGTCTACAGGAACGAGGACTAGGCGGCTGCTCAGCCTTGGAATGTACATGTTTTGCAGCACAGCTGTTGTAGAACTTTCCGCTGACACAGATTGTTCTTTTTCACAAGCATACAGAAGCCTCCTTCCGCCCAGGACTCTTCCGTGGCTTTTCCGGAAGTCAGCAAGAGAGAGGGGGAGTGGAGTCGAGAGCAGCAGGACACACGGAGGGAGGTTTTTGATTGGCCAAAGAGGTAGATTTGGGGGGGTTGGAAGAGGTTCATTCAGGAGCAGTCAGCAGGGAGGGAATTTGGTCCACCCAGAGTGATTTCAGTCAACAGCAGGGTTTTCAAGGAGAAATTTGCAGTCCAGCAGTAAATGTGATTGGTATCCATTTGTGAAAGGAAAAAAGAGATTGGAAAAAAAGAATACATTAGAAATCAATAATATCACAAGCAAGAACTTTTCTTCTCAGAACTGTCTAGAGCAGAAAATATACAGCCATTTGCACCATATTTCATTGACTCTAAGACACAAGGTTTAAGGTTCAACCTTATTTCAGTATCACGGAGGTAATAAGACTCACACTGTGATACCATGCTCTAGTAGCAACCGGAACTTTAATTGCATTAACAGCGTGTGAAATAACGCTCTGCATGTAGCTCTTTGGTGTTGCTCATTTGAATGGTGGTTAAATGACACGTGAAAACCAGGAGCCTCAAGCTTCATTCAACTGACGCACATCTCTGTGGCTAAGTCTCCGGTCCAGGCAGTGACACTTAACCCCCATCAGATATATCTGATTTCTGTGACGTCTTAGAATCATGGAAACATGACAGCTGAGAAGGAGCAGACACAGTCTGTAAGAGCATTTGCCACATAACGGAAGGCTCGACGACCCTCGCTCCTCATCAGGGTGGAAGTGGCCTCACTGTGAACCACGACTCTCAATGACACTTTTCTCTAACCAAGCTGCCATTTGGTATAACTTAGCCTGTGGTCAGCGTGGCTTCTAAAGGGTTGGTACATCATTAACTTTAGGTGACTTGGAGCAAATGCTAGAGGAGAAAACTTCAAGGTCCTGTGCCTGTCAATCACTTAAGTCTTCCTCAGGAACCTGTGCAATGACTTGAAAAAGAAAGGACTGGTTGTATTCCTGTATAAAGGAACCACATTTTTTACAGTCGGGCAGGAAGGCATGTGCTGGCCAATGAAAGCCGATACTTAGACAGCCCTGGTGCCCCCCCCCCCACTGCAGGTTTCTTTCCCTAGAGTGGTAAACTGAGCATTAGCCCCCCGCAGGACCTAGGAGCAGAGGGGGGTGGGATGAGCCTGTCCTGC